GGGTTTTACATCCAAGATGCATTATCTTGCACTTATCCACATTAAATGTCAGTTGCCACAATTCTGACCATTTTTCTAGTTTACCTAAATCATTTGCCATTTGGCTTATCCCTCCTGGAACATCAACCCTGTTACATATCTTAGTATCATCAGCAAAAAGACATACCTTACCATCAAGACCTTCTGCAATATCACTAATAAAAATATTAAAGAGAATGGGTCCAAGTACAGATCCCTGAGGTACCCCACTGGTGACAAGTCCAAGCTTCGAATATATTCCATTAACTACAACCCTCTGTTGCCTGTCACTCAGCCACTGCCTTACCCATTCAACAATATTGGAATCCAAACTTAAAGATTGCAATTTATTGATAAGCCTTCTATGTGCAACAGTGTCAAAAGCCTTACTGAAATCTAGGTAAGCAATGTCTACTGCACCACCCTGATCTATAATTTTAGTTACCCAATCAAAAAAATCAATAAGATTAGTTTGGCATGATCTCCCTGAAGTAAACCCATGTTGTCTCTGATCTTGAAATCCATGTGTTTTTAGATGTTCAACAATCCTATCCTTTAACATGGTTTCCATCACTTTCCCCACTACTGAAGTAAGGCTTACTGGCCTATAGTTGCCCGACTCCTCCCTATTACCTTTCTTGTAAATGGGCACAACATTCGCTAACTTCCAATCTTCTGGGGCTACTCCTGTTAACAATGATTGGTTAAATAAATCTGTTAATGGTTTTGCTAGTACACCACTAAGCTCTTTTAATAGCTTTGGGTGTATTCCATCAGGTCCCATAGACTTATTTGTCTTTACCTTTGACAGTTGAAATAGAACCTTTTTCTCTGTAAACTCACGTGTAATAAATGACTCATTTATCCTTTTTCTCAACTGAGGTCCCTTTCCTTCATTTTCATCTGTAAATACAGAACAAAAATATTAATTGAGGCAGTCATCTAGACCTTTATCTTCTTCTACATACCTTCCTTCTTTTGTTTTTATTCTAATTAATCCTTGTTTTACTTTTCGTTTCTCATTTATGTATCTAAAAAATGTTTTGTCCCCCTTTTTCACTGATTGTGCTATTTTCTCTTCTGTGTGTGATTTGGAAGCTCTTATAACTTGCTTAGCCTCTTTCTGCCTAATCTTATAGATCATTTTGTCTTCCTCACTCTGGGTTTTTTTATAATTCCTAAATGCTAACTTTTAGTTTTTAACTATTTTGGCCACATCTGCGGAGTACCACAGTGGTTTCTTGAATTTTTTGCTTTTACTTACAAGCCTAATGCAATTTTCTGTTGACTTCAATAGTGCAACTTTTAAATAATCCCATTTCTCTTGGACTCCATTTAAACTGCTCCAGTCTGATAATGACTCCTCTACACTTATTCTAATTTTAGAAAAGTCTGTTTTTCTAAAGTCTAAAACTTTTGTTTTTGTGTGGTGTGACTCAGTCACTGTTCTTATATTAAACCACACTGACTGATGATGACTGGATCCTAAACTTTTAGAGCATTATAAAACATTATAAATGTACATAAATTATATATTTGGAAAAAAATGATTCTGTATAATAAAAGATAAACATATCTCTGATATTTGAATAGCAATTTTTAAATAGATATCAGTAGGAGAAATGCTATTGAGCTACCATAGTTAAAGTAACACTCTAAGTCCTCTGTAATAGTTATAGTGCTAGGAGTGCTGTGTCACAGTCCCATGGTAAGGAGTCAAAGTTACCAGGAGTTAAGACAACTTACCTGGGTTCTGTTTGTAGCCCACAGGTGTAACCCATTTTTTCTGGTTTCTCTTCTAGGGGAATCTGGTTACCTTGACAAAACAGAATAACAATGCATGACAGTAACAAATTGTTTTTTTGTTGTTGATTTTTTTTAAATACAGGCCTGGAATGTAAAAATACATACTCATGTTTTTTTTGTTTTGTTTTTTAAAACTCAATGCTACTACTTTACTCCTGTAAAAAAACTAAAAAAATAAATAAAATTATTAAAATAAATAAATAATAAATAAAGACATAGGGGAAATCTGACACGCACATAACTAATTTCATTCCATGCCCTCTTTATTATGGTGTGGGTTGTTCATATCAACTAAACTAGCAGCTGCCCAACCATTATTATCCCATCCATTGACCTGTAGGCAATTCAGCTGCTAGAATAACTGGGGGTTGTCTATTGCTTCCCCCCCCCCCCCACACCTAATCTCTCCCAACAGCCCAATAGTGCAACTTAAACTAATCAGTGACATGACAGCTATTCCTACCCATTTGCTAAAAGCTCCATCTCATTCAGTTAGGACCTGTAAATTAAGGATACACTAATATGCCAACACACAGAACTTAAGTAAAAATAAAGAAAACCCTAAGGCGTATTACTGGACCTTAGAGCGGCCAGATTTAACATAAAAAAATAAAAGTACAAGACAGGCTGAGGTCAGGTATACAGAGAATATGTAAATAGTATGTAAGCCAAAGGTAAAGGAATATAGAAATCAGACTACTCAGGAGCCAAGCCAAAGTTCAATGGATACAAAGATCAGAATAGTCAGTAAGAAAGTCATGGTCAAAATACACAAAAAACGTGCTCTCGGATAACCAGAATGGAAACCACGACAGGGCACAGAGAAATGAAGAAAAAAGGTTTAAATAGCCTAAGGTGCTCCTTGATTGGCTGCTGGGGAGCATGTGACAGTGAATATGTGTGTGTGTGTGACGTCACACACATGTTCCCAGTATTTAGGCACTCAAAGAGTTAATTAAGAACCTTGAAAGGTTCTTACTTGCAGCGGCTGGGGTCTCTAATGATTACAGACCCGGCCTCTGTGTGAAGGAAAGAGTGCCTGTCAGTGAGATGAGTGATCAGCGACATTCCCATTACCATGTGGGAATGCTGCTGCAATGAGATGCACCCGCTGGGTCCCAGTCTATTCCCGGGCAGGAGTGGACCCGGCGGGTGCCTTGAAACAAGGTAAGTATTTGGCGACATTACCCTTGCGATGTTGGAATGCCGCCGCAACACAAAGGTACTATAATACCCTATGCACCGTATTGTATGTAAATGAGGCTTCAGTAGGGGCCAAAATATAGTAGACGAGAAGGATGCAAATGTCAATAATTCATGCCTACAGTCTCCCACCCATGGGCATCAAGTGGCGGTGTATTAATAAAAAAAAGAATAAAGACATTCCTTTCGACGCCCCCTTGGGTGGCTAGGAGCACTCAAAATCACCTAAAATTGTCTTTACCTACTTCCCACTCTAAAAAAATATTGAGGAAGGGCAATAAATCTAATCACCTGTCAATAAAATTCAATACTTACAATCAGAAGTCTTTTTCTTGTAATTTCCTTTTTCAGCTCTAAAAAAGGCCCCAAAAAATCCATAAAACACTTGAAAGCCAAGGAATCAGAGCACAGTGACAGACAAGTCATGCCTGTCGTGAGACTTTCCCAGTGATGTGAACATACATTCTTTGTTTAATTTTTCTGGCACTTCTTTGCGCATTTTTAAAAAATGTATTGTCAAAATATTGTCATGTCTTGCACATCCATAGTTAAATCGAAAAACAATCTCACAATAACCAGGTCTCTGTGCGTAGCTCTTAAAATAAGACTTGTATGCTATAACCTTAGCTCATTCTGTCAAACTACGCAACTAAAACAAACAATTAGGAAACAGCATGCATACGTTATCCTAACAAATTACACTGCAAGAAAAACAACTAGACAGCCATTTGGATGAAGCACGAGAATTAATTTGCACATGAATCAATGCCAAGTCACCTGTTAACAGAATAACCACTGAAATTAATGCTGAGTCTCTGAAGATCCTTTCCTAGAACTGTTGCTCCAAATGAAACTGGCACATGGGCACTGATCTAAAATAAAAAAAAAAATTAAAACACTCCTTAACATGTGTGTATTATTTTCTATATGGTTAATAGAAAAATTGTAATGATGAAAATAAAATACGATTAAAAAATAATAATAAATGCCATATAACTGCCCTCTGCAACAAACTATAATCAGAGCATGATGACATGACATGCTTGTAAGACAAGAATTGGACGTTTTTGGTGCATAGACTGAATATAAGATAAGAAGACCTCCATGAGTACAGCTAATGACTGCTTAAGAGTGGTAGAACATTCCCTTTTCCTTCCGAATCATAATGATTGAAAGATTCAGTTCTTGCAAATGACAAGCAACTAATGTTACGTGCATAGAAGATGCACAAAAGAAGATGGTCAAACAGTGGAGTGTACTTAGAGTTGGTGAATATTATGTTGTGGTTAGTAGAATATATGGGACTGATGATCATGCACCTCTCTTCTGATTGTAGACTTAGTTTTCATTGCAGGCAGGCTCTTTAGGATCTTTGATTATACCGAGTGTTGACTGCTGCTATGTGTAATCTTGACATCAGACATCTCATTGTGAGGTTGCCTTCAGAACTTTGATACTAGGGAGGTTGACAGATAAAATTATTGTTATCTTTTAAATCTGTTTTCCCCACTGAGTAATACATCTAATCCAATGCTAGTTTTGTCCATAGTGTTTATATGTATTCATCATACACTAAAAAGTTAGTATAGGAGCCAGGAGGTGTGCTGCACTATGCGTATTAATATTTTTTTTCCATTTTATAAACATACTGTTACTCTTCCTATACAGATCACTATGAACATGGAATTACAGAATGTTAAAGTCCATATAAACCACTCAGAACTGGCAGGCTGAATGGAATTTGGAGAAAGAAATGGAGAATATCAGAATTTTGAATGTGGAATAAGCTGCAAAGTTTAAAAATACTAAATTAAAAGTGAGCTGTCAAAGCTGTGAGCTTTGTGGGTGGTCCTTGGCAATCAGAAAGCTGTCTCAGGCAGCATTATAAACACTGCTTACTCATGGCGCAAGGTTTTTTAATAAAAGCAAGCCTTCTCGTGTCCCCTGCTGGTTTGTCATACTTGTGACCTCATTGTCATACATTTTGGGATCATAGGCATGACACGGAAAAATTAAAATGCACCTAACAGTTTAAATTGTGTTTTTTCTCTGATACCCTTGCCCTGTCATGGTTTCCTTATTGGTCCCAGATCAGTCTATATTTTCTGACTTCTGGTATTGACATTTCATCTGACTCTCAGTATCTCTAGCTGTATACTGTATTCTGTATTTTTTACCTAAATCAGCATGGTGCGGTATAGTATACATGACAGGAATACATTCCATAAATTGAAATATCACATCAAAGTGTCATTTTATTTTCCTTGGATTTGGTTCCATGTCTAAAGATTGATTAAGTGTCTGTTGCATCCAAATTGATTACTTTGATAAAGAGGTAATTTTCATATCTTCATTCCAAAAGTATTTTTCCAGCTTCTCACTGTCAGTCTTGTCAGGGATCACACCCTCTACTTATACTTAAATATCTTCTATATTTCTTCAAGATATTTTGAGGGAGATTTATCAAGGAAAAATTTGCTTTTCTGGGCACCTGCTAAATTACCATGCAACCTAATATAATGTATCCCATAATTTAGCATTTAGCACATAAATCTCCCCTTTTTTATTTAATTCCTTAGCTTGAATTTTGTTAATACATTGTTTCAAGTTTGCTGATTTCATAATGTTAAACTGCATGAGTGCTTGCAAATCCCCTGTATTTATTTAACTTCTTTTTCAATTCTCATTTTAAAACATGAATTTCAGAAATTTGATGTCATATCTCATACAAAAAGTTCACAATTTATTTTTTTGAAATGTAAAATTAATATCTGGTACATTTCGAGACAGAAAAAGAGATCCATCCATTTAAATAATGTAATTGTGTGGAGAGGTGCTATTGTGACAAAAGAAGGGTGGTTGTATCTTCCGATCTCCTCAGCTGGTTTATCATTAAAAGAGATGAATTTAGAGTTGCAAATCCACATAGTTCTTAACCCTAACCCTAAAATGAGGTAATATAAAATATAACATGATAGTGAGGCATTACTAAAAGAATATAAGGTTGTATTGATGTTCAAAGAGTCCCTCAATGGCAGACTTAAATTCTCACCAAGGTATGCATTTCTAGCTTAACTATAAAAGTGTTTTTTTCCCTATACTAAAATGAGATTAATTTCACCTGTAGCATTTCTCATAGTGTGCTTGTAATTCAATTTGTGGTGATATCACTTAATTAGTTTTACTATATTATATAGATTTTCCTGTATAGACTTAATTAGTTACCCTGTCTAATCAGCACACAATGTAGAATTGGAACAAATTACGTTTGTATTCACAATTGTTTTTCTACTTATAGAAATAGAAATCTTGGATGGAGGACCATACTGTACACTTTAGTACATATTTTACATTAATGACTTTACTGACCTGGAATGCAGAACACTGAACACTTTGTGATATGTCTAGAACATTATTTTGGAATTCAAGGTAGTATTTAAACAGTGATGTTTTTTTAAAATGAATGCACACAAGAAAATTGAATATAAATGATACCAAAAAAACTCTCTCAATGTATGCATTTTATACCTCCCAACATTTCAAATTGGCAAAGAGGTACACTTTAGGTTTAGGGGTGTGAGTGGGGGTGTTGCCAGGAGGAGGTTGTTCTGAGAACTTTTAGGTGACTTACTAATTACAATTGCAGTCACTAAAAGCAATGTAAATTATTTAGACTGATTTCTAAAAATATTTACTGTAGTTTAAAGACACGTTATTGTGACTAGTAAAAATATGGAGCTACTAGCAAAGGGTGATAATAGGATAGAAAATGAGGGACAGAGGAATTTGGGCCAAAATAGTGACTTTCCCTCTTAAATAGGTACACTTGGGAGGCATATATTATTTATTTATAAAATATTTTACCAGGAAAGATACATTGAGATTTCTCTCGTTTTCAAGTATGTCCTGGGTCCACAAATCATTGCATTGTTACATTAGGTACAACAAAATACAAAAACAATATTAATACACAATATATACAAAATTTAACATAGAACAGGCAGGAAATATATAATCAACCATGACACGTGCATTCTGTTTTGAGGTATGTAGAGAGGGATCTCTTAAATGACTTTAGGCTTAGGGAAGATTTTAAATTGTGCGGGAGGTCGTTCCACAATTGTGGTGCTCTATAGAAGAAGGAGGATCGGGCCGCTTTCTTTTTGTATTAAGGTAGACTAAGTAAAGTGCTTGTACTGGATCGGAGCTTATAGAAAGTGGGAACAGCTGGGGAAAGCATTTTGTTCAGGTAGGGTGGGAGTTTCCCAGAAAAGCTCTTAAAAACAAGGCTGGAAAGATGAAGGGTGCGTCTGGATTCCAGCGACAGCCAGTTTAGTTCTTTTAGCATGTCACAATGATGGGTCCTGTAATTACATTGTAGCACAAATCGGCAGAACGATTTATACAATGTGTTGAGTTTATTAATGTGGGATTGCGATGCAGATGCATATACTACATCCCCATAATCAATGATTGGCATCAGCATTTGCTGTACAATCTTTTCCTTTACTGTAGGGCTTAGGCAGGCTTTGTTTCTGTACAGGGCAACTAATTTTGGATAAAGTTTAGATGCAAGCTTTTCTATGTGCAGGCCAAAAGATAGATTGGGGTCTAATATCATACCCAAGTATTTGAAAGAGTGGACCGCGGTCAGTGTGCCATTTGAATTTGTTTTGATGGATAGGTGGGAATTGGGTAATTTGTGTAATTTAGGTACTGTTCCAAAGATCATTGTGACAGTTTTGTCAGTGTTCAGGAAGAGTTTGTTTTTTGCGATCCACTTTTCTACCTCTGTAAACTGGTCTTGGAGCACAGCCTCAAGTTGCGGTAGATCGGATTTGCTCGCATAGATTACCGTGTCATCTGCGTACATGTGTACATTTGAGGATTGGCAGACATTAGGCAGATCATTTATAAATAATGTAAATAGTAGGGGGCCGAGAATGGAACCCTGGGGAACACCACACGTGACTGGGAGAGGGAGGGAGTCACTGTCAGAAATGGACACATATTGCGAGCGATCCGATACATACGATCGAAACCAGTTTAGAGAACGATCACCAATACCTGAATGTCGTGGTCTACTGTGTCAAAGGCCTTAGCAAAATCGAGGAAAATAGCTCCAGTTAGGGCTCCTTGTTCCATGCCAGTTTGGATGTCATTGCAAACGTTTAGGAGGGCAGTTGTAGTGGAGTGATTCTGGCGAAAGCCCGATTGATCAGGGGTCAGATAGTTTAATTGTTGGTAGTACTCACAAAGTTGCGTATGGACACATTTTTCTAAGATTTTTGACAATAATTGTTAAAGGCATTTGCTACATCCATGGGAAGTTGCAGGGTTTGGTTACCCACTTTGACAGTGGAGGGTTGGGAGTGGTTCGGGGGAGTTTGTAGTTTATTTATGACTTTCTAAAAGTTTCTAGGGTTTGAGATGTTACTGTTCAGATTTTCATAGAAATATTGGGCCTTGGCCAGTTTTGTCTGTTTTGTGCATATATTTCGCCATTGTCCATATGCAGTGATCATTTATAGAGCCAGTACGCTTAAACTTTGACCACAAAGAATCCCGAAACTGGTACATTTGGATGAGGTCAGCTGTGATCCAGTTCATATGTGCTCCTTTTACCCTCACCTTATGCAGCGGGGCATGCAAATTCCAAATCTGTAGGAGTTCAGACTGAAAGTATTCAACAGCACAGTCTAGATCTGGGATAATGTTTAATCTGTGCCATGAGAGATTCTTGATGTCATTTAAAAAGAGTCCGTACAGATGTTTAAACAGCAACTATATGCATTCTTGCAAAAACAGAATATTCAATTATATATTTTTTTCAACTGTAGGGTAATAGCTTCTTGATCCAAGGATAAATCTGACTGCCATTCTGAGGTCAAAAGGGAATTAATTTCCTATTTTGTTGCAAAATGGGAAGTGATTTAAACAGTTTTTTTTTTGCAGTCTTTTGGATCAACAGCAAAAAAACTAATGTGAGGAAGGCTGAACTTTATGGACACATGTCTCGTTTCAGCCTATGTAACTATGTAACTGATCCATGGGCTCTCTGATACATATCTGGTGGCACTGTCCCATGTTCCAACCTTAGCCAAAGCTCTGACGAGTCTTATTCTGCTGCTATCTTTTTATACAGCAGAGACTATAGAGTTAGGCATCCTACTAACTGCCAACAGGGAAAATTTACTCAATACTTACCGTAATTTTCTTTTCCTGGCTATTCTTCATGGCAGCATTACTCATGGGTAGCTCCTCCCCCAGGCAACACAGGACAGGAATAATAAACTAATTAATCAGATTATTAGGTATAAAAGATCCCTCATACCTTCATACCAAAGCAAAGGATAAAATAAAGGGTGGGAACCTGATGCTGCCATGAAGGCGAAGATGCATCTACCCTAGCTTTAACTTCATAAATTCATCTGGCTGAGGTTATAGCGACCAGAAAAAAGGTTTTATATGTAAGCAGGGTAGAGTTCAGACTTTCCAAAGGAAAAAAGGACTCTCAGTCAAGGTGTCCAAATCCAGAGGAAGATCCCATGGAGGAGAGCAAGTCCTTTTGGGAAGTCTAGTCCTTAAAGCTTCCTTGAAGTATTTTGCAATTAAAGGATCAGATGACCATGAAATGTTGCAAAGAGCTGATAAAGCCGAAGATTGTACCTTTAAAGTACTAAGGCTAAGACCCTTATCAAGTCCTTCATGTATAAATTCCAAAAATTGGGAATTAGCAGGATTGTTAAATTAAACATTTTTAGAAGACATTCAGGTCTTGCAGGTATCCCAAACTCTGTGATAACATACCGAAGTTGACTTTTTTTGGACTTTAAGAGCGTATTAATCACTGCTTCAGAAAGTCCCATATTCTCTAATCTCTCCTTTTCAAAAGCCGTGCCCCCAAGTTCAGAAGTTCCAGATTGGGAACCGGACCTTGGCTCAGTGGTGGCGGCCAATCGTCTGTCAGGTTTAACTTGATCAACTAAGGGAACCAAGGTCTCCTTGGTCATATCGAAATCACAGCTATCACCTTCCTTCCCTCTGTCCATACTTTCAGCAGGAAACAATGTATCATCGGTAGTGGAAGGAACGCATACCCCCAATGTTCCACTGTTGTGATAGATCATCTTGCCCTGCCTACAGTTGATTTGGGTGAAGAGAGTAAAACTTCAGAATCTGACAGTTTTCCGTTGTGGCCATAAGATCGACCTGTGGTATACCCCACTGAATAGTGATTTACCTGAAT